GACTTGCGATCAGAGTCACGGAACGGATTAAGTTCGTAAGTAGAGGTACCACTGTATTTTTCTGGTCACTTGACCCTACCCTGAATTAGAAAAACGAGGGAGGAGGAGGAGGAGGAGGAAAAAAGAAGAGAAGGAAAAGAAGAGGAGAAGGAAGAGAAAGGAGAAGAAGAAGAGGAGGAGGAGAAGGGGAAGGAGAAAGAGTAGGAGAAGGAGAAGAAAAGTCTTAATCCAGACTCAACTGAATGATTCCATGTGCATATCAGTTTACTTTCTAGGTACCAATATGGAACTGGTTTGTCACTGTCTTCTTCTAAAATGTTTTCTCACTTCCCAGCATAGCCTACAGCCTTGAGGAAATGCTGATGGCTTCCCACCCAGGGACTGACTTCTTGATTCTTTTAAAACCAGCCAAGGTTGGCTGGATGTTACCATCTGATGTTGCTTCTTTAACTCACCCTCCAACATATGAGAAATTCTGTCACTGTCCAGACAACAATAAGAAACGAGTCAGCAAGAACACATTTTTTGTCCTGGTGCGAGTGGTGGATGAATTGTGGTGAGTGGGGGCCCTGTTCAGTATGGTTGGGTGGGATTTGATTTGGTCTGCAGAAGAAGAAGAAAGTAGAACCAGTCTCTTGGTTTAGGTCAGTACACATAGGTCAGTGTATTCCTGTATTCAACTCTACCTCCTGTAAAATGAACATAGTATATCATCAGTAGATGTAGCCGGTGGGCTGTTGAATTTCCTCCTATAACCATGAGGACTAACACATTGAAGATCTTGTTTAAGATCAGTGAAAACTCAGATTCTCAGGACCCCAACTGAGCCTCCACCTTGGTGATCCACAAAGGTGTCTCGTCACCTACTTCTGGGTGGATCGGAAAGGTCTCACTGGAGTCGTTTTTTTCCCAGTTTGGTAGAGCTGACCGAAGAGATCCTGAAGCTGCTGATGGAGCTGGTCTTCCGTTTGGTCTGCAATGGAGAACTTAGCCTCGCCCGGGTCTTGCGCAAAAACATCCTTGACAAAGTTGACCAGAGGAAAATGCTGCGTTACGCCCACTCGGTCAAGCCTTTGGCTGCTCGATGGGTGGCAGCCAGGTGAGATGGGTGATGGGCTCTGCAGGGCAGAGCAACAGAACGAAAACCAGGATCTTTACTAAGAAACTATAGTTCTTGATGTTCAGATTCAGCGTGCCAGGGTAGAGGTTCTCCAACATCGCAGTGCACGGCTGCCACTTGCTAAACCGATCAATGACTTTTGTGACATCCCTGTTCCCCGAGGAATAAAATTAATGGTTTCATTGGAGTTGGGGTTGAGCAAGAAATAAATATCCCACTTACAGTGGTACCTCAGTTCACGAACTGAATTCGTTCCATGATTCTGGTCGTGAACTGAATTGGTTGCGAACCGAATCAAATTTCCCCCTAAGGTTCAGTGTAAATAAGGTGAATCCGTTCTGACCCCTATGAACATGGTCGCCAACCGAATCAAATTTCCCCCTAAGGTTCAATGTAAATAAGGTGAATCCATTCTGAACCATATGTGTTTTCTTTTTAACTACAAAAATATGAGACAAAGTACAGTACAGTACAGTAGGAAGAGAGAGAACACTAACCTTGCTTGAGGCGACTTCTGGCGTGGAGGACAGGAAGGCGGGTGGGGAGGCGGTTATGGTTTGGAGGGAGAGTCCCCCTCCATAAGGACCGCGATCTCGCCTAGAGGAAGCCACAACCACGTGTCAGAGCAGGGGAGATGGCCGCGGGTCGTGTTTGTCACCTGAGGTGGAGTTCGCGAACAGAAGCAAAATTTTGTGAACACTGCTGTTCGTGAACCGAATTGTTCGTGAACAGAAACGTTCGTGAACCGAGGTATTACTGTATTTGTAATGGTGCCAAGATCATCTATGTATCACGTGAGTTCTTAAACTCTGTGGTACTGCAGTTGTGCACTGCAGAGCTCCTCCACTAGGCAGTCAACATTTGGAGAAGCGCATTTTCACAAGGTGGTCACCTGCGCTGGGGAGCAAAGCATTGGAAGTGATTGAACCACCCTGAAGTTCACTGAAGTGCTTAGGCCTATCCAGGTTATCACATTCTGGTGTGTGATTCCCTGCGCTCGGGAAGATAACTTAGCTAACAGGAGAGCAGGCCTGTTAGGTGGAATCCAAGCTATGAAAAATTGGGGGGCATGAATTTTGGGATGAAATGTGTTGGTTGGAGTAGTTGAACACATCTGGGGAGCATCCCATGGAGAAAAGGTGGACAGAAACAGTGTATTTAAGGCACAACAAGTGATAATGCAGTGCTAAAGTTAGAGTATTATTTTTACATCATCTGCCCCAATCAGTTGCAATTCATCAGCATGGATTTCTGACTTCTACTTCATCATGATTTTACACATTCAATGAAGGCAGAAGGTGGTTTGATTGGGTTGGGTTTGGTTTTGGTTTTTTGACTCAAAGTTCTGTGCAAACAAAGCCATGCTGGATTATTTAACAGGTCTTTAAAAACCTGGTTTAATGTTGCCTGCCAATTCAGGCACTCACCACACACTGCTCTCATCCCAACCTTCAAATCAGTTGTGGAAACGACAAACCTTAGATGTTGAACTGAAAACTGAACGCTGCTCTTTTTCCGGTCTTCTACATGTTTCAGAGCTCCCAATTCCTGATTCCAAAAACCTCTTTTTTGCACCAATCTGAGTTGATGTTCCTTTTTCCTAAAGACTGGCTGATATTCCCAATTACGTCGGCAGTCGAATGGACGAGATGTTGAATGTCATGCTCAGCCCCTGATTTCATGTTTTTTTCTCCCTTGGAAGAGCCAATATATATCCATCTGGGTAAAAGTCATTCCCTTTCTCATCTTTTCTGTTTTCCAGGCCCGGCACCCTCCATGATTTTCACAGTCACGAGATCTCTGAACAGCTTACTCTCCTAGATGCGGAACTGTTTTATAAGATTGAGGTATGACGATGATGCGTTGAACTTGCCTCCGACGTATAACTCCAACCATCTCTTAAGAGTAGATGTTCTCTTTAAAAAAAATAAAATAAAATATCAGTGGTTCTATAAAGTCAAAATCCTCTCCCAAAGGAGGGTGCCCGTTGCATCTCTGCACGATGTCCAGATGTTTTGAGCTTGCTTCCTTTCAGAACAAAGGAGTAGCTGGTCTCGGAATCATTTTTAGTTCTTCCTGCCACAGCAACAACACAGAGGTCCCCTCTCTCCAACCACCGGTTGCATCTTTGCATAACCCTCTGCTTAGATCACCTACCTTAGATTACCTTGATTGTGGCAGGGCTCTGAAGTCACTGCCCATAACTAAGAATGGATATTTCTGGCTTCTAAAAAAGATTTTTTTCCAAGTCTAAGGACAAGAGGGTCTCTCTTTGGGCTACACTCTGGCCAGAGGGAGAGGAAAATATCTCTCTGCTTTCTGAAATTCAGGAACGGGTGGCCAAAGCCCATATGCCACATCCAAGGAGTAGGGAGAGATCCAACAAACACCCCTGAAGTCTTTCTTCCCCATCAGAAATAGGCCCACGCCAACTTTGGGGATATATTGGTGAAAAGCGGGAGGCAGACTTTGAATGGAAATAATCGCTCATCCCCATTAGAAGTTTCAGATCTTGATGACCAAATAATGTATCGTTTCTTTCCAGTTTTCTGGAGCTTTTCCTGGAAGAAATCACAGGCCTGATGGGGTTGCAAGGGGAGGAGATAGACAATCAAACTAAGTTGGAGACTTTGTGTATCTGGCTTAGGTTTCAATTTCCCAGATTGGAGAGCTCTAAATTTGCTGTTGGGGTAATGGAAGAGCTACGTATCTTTTCTAAGTTCCCTTCATCCCTTTCAGATCCCCGAAGTTTTACTTTGGGCAAAAGAGCAGAATGAGGAGAAGAGCCCCAACTTGACGCAGTTCACCGAGCACTTTAATAATATGTCTTACTGGTAAGAGAAAACAAGGGATATTGTGTCTTCTCCCACTGAGGTCTTCATAACTCTGTGCAGGAGCTAATATCAAGTTGTGGGTTGGTCTGCTGTCAAGAGGCTGGACACCAAACATATCTTTTGTGCTGTTCTGGAGCGTTTAATATAAGCTGGATGTTCTCCAGATATATGTGGTCACTCCCTGAATTCTCAGCAGTGACCATGCTGGGTGGGGAATTCTGCAAATTGAAGTCCATCCATCTGGAGGATAACCTTCAGCTCCCAGAATTCTTAGCAGTGGCCATCTTGGCTGGGGAATTCTAGAATTTCAAGACCTCACATCTGGAGGTGGGGGAAAGCTGGTTGATAGAAACACTTCCAACTTGGTATCTCCAGGGATACCAGACTTCAATTTCCAGAAAATTATTCTGAATGACCTTTTTTAAAGACTGGGTTAGGTCAAATTGCAAAATAATGTTTCTCTAGAAAGATAGAATGAGAAAAAAGCACAAGCAAAAATGATGGAGAAAGATCTGCTGGTGACTTGATGAATGTATAATTTCATTCATAATAAAACCTAGGATTCCTGTCATGGCTGGGACCAGAACCAAACTGGTCTTTTGAAGAACATCTAGAAGAACATCCAACAGGTGTCAATAGGGGGGTGGGGGGTGGGGGGTGAGGAGTCAGAACAAACATTAAATGTGGTTTAATTAAAATTAAGTTACATATAGTTAATTTGATGGTTCCCTTTATTTAATAGCAACTTTGGGGGTGTCCCAGATCTACCACCAAAAATTTGGGGACATTAAGCTGCAGAAGTCTAAATTAAATCTTCAGGGTTCACTATTTCCATCACCCCACTTTTCTTTGATTCTTTTTGAACCCAAAACTTATAAAGGGAGAAATCTAAAACTTTCCCATAAACTTCTTAAACCATAAACAACTTTGTTCTGAAACATCCTACCAGGAAGAATAAGATCAGGCTCTGAGAGGCGAAGCTGAAGAGAGAAAGGAATCATGCCTCCTGTTTGGGGACAGCTAGGACTAACGGGCCAGGGGATCCTGCAGACTTTTTTTTTTTTTTAATGTTGAAATCAGTTTTGTCTTGTACAACAAACTATCTGAAAGTTATGCTTCTGGTGGATCTCTCCCCTTTGCCAATCCACAGGGTCCGTTCCATAATCATGCAGCAGGAAAAGTCACAAGATCGAGAGCGGCTGCTACTGAAATTTATCAAAATCATGAAGGTAAAGATCCAACTAGGGATGCCCTGGGGAGGGGCACGGAGGTAGAGGCCCAGCCCAAGGAACTTATAATGGTATGTGGGAAAGTCCTTGGGAGCCTGGACCAAGAGACACTGCCAAGGGAACAGTCAGATAAGAGGGAGCATAGCCCTCAGTTGGATAGCGGGTAGGGCAAGAGGCTCAGAAGGGACC